TATTTGTCTGCTTCCCGATCGTTAGCGAAATCGTGAAAACTCAAACTATTTGTAGTACACAAGATTGTCAATCACAAGAGTGCAATTAGTATCTTATGGCTCTTTTGAAGATTTTCAAAAAAGGAGGTTACAAATTTACTAGTCAGGTCCTACTGGGACTTCTTTCTCTGCAAATTTGACGCCTATGGGTCATGCAGTGACAAAGATACATTCATTACATCATTACATACAAGGCCCTGGTTCAACCTCGTGGTGAGCCAACTAAGCTATTTTTCCGAGCGGGGATTTCGCTATCAGACTTATCTGTGAGCGGGATTGGGCGGCTTAAGTAAACAAAAACAAAAGTCAGATTATATTGATTCAGAGATATTTTTGGATGATGGGTGTGAGGAAACGAATGATATAAAACAAGCTTTTGGGACCCGTGAAATGTTTGACATCACGTAAAGTATAAAAATATAAATCTGACCACAATATTACTCGCCACGATCCATATGGACGAGCTATAGTTGTCTAACATTTGTATAAAAGGAAGAATTTATCACTCAAATGATTGACGATACCGCTTCCTATGCAATTTTCACACTCTAACACGTTCTTACTGTACATTCATAATTTTCTTTACTCGTATTGATTCTACACTCCAAATTATATATATATATATATATATTTATATGTATATTAATATAAATGTGTATGTATACGTATACACGTGCATATGCATGTATATAAACGTATATATATATATATAAATATATATATATACATATATATATATATATATATGTATATATGTCTATAAGTCTCCATTTTGAGTGAATTATAAATCGCATTACTCTTTATGTGTACTACCACATAATGACATACATTATTCATTTATATTCATGACACATTGAATATCATGGTATGATTTCTTCCGAAATAGAATCTTTTTGAAAGTTCCAAAAAATCTGAGTATTTCCAGAAATCACATTTGACAGCTGTGGTGTTCTCTTGTGCTTATAACACATAAAAAGAAACTTTTTTTGGTCATAAAGATTGAAATCATTCTGTGACAGACTCTTGCTTTCATTTCTTGTATATAATTCTGTAATAATACATTGAAACGATTGCAAAGCTTCAAACTTACCCCTAAGAGATCACCGAGGCCGTCATCCGTCATGACGTCAATTTACTTAAATAGAATTGATAATACATGAGGAAGAAACGTGGGCTTCAAACAGCGCTTTTTGATGAGATTAGAGCACGAGGACTTACAACTTACCACAGAATTCAGCCATAATAAAAGAACTGCTAGTGGTCAGTGACAAAATAATCACATTAGTATTGAATAACTTAAACAGAGCTCGTTGACTTGTTACTGCAACTATGGCAACGCGTCATTCAACGCATAACTCTTTTCAGAGTGCAAGTGTGAAAAAAAATGAAAACAGCAGCAAGTAGTTCACTTTTTTCAACGAAAAAACAATAATGGCATGTGAAACTTGAAAAAGTTGAAGCTCTTTCCATTAGAAAAACATGTGTTGAAGTGTGACTATGACAAGTTCGCACAGCTGCTTTAAGGAATGATGTCATAGTAAATGACGTTGATTGTAATCTCTTACCATCAATGGAATTTGAAAAAATGATAAAATATACTACTTATGTGAAATCGGAATTTGTCTCATCATCCTTTCTCAAGTTCTTCAAAGCTCTTTATTCTCGATTCGATTTGGTGCATTACTAGCTACTGCTAGCGATATGTTTCGATGTTGTTCCTGTTGTTCCTTCTATAAGCAAGCCTCCTTGGACTTCGAGATAGCCAGGCCTGATAAGCTATCTGTGTGTTGATAGCGCATCTTACCTCTCTGACAAAAACTTTAGAAATAGCAGGTAGTGTATGAAATGTCTGTAAGCTATGCATTCGACTCCAGTTGACGACAGAACAGTAGAGATGACGTGATGTATGTTTGGCTCGTATAAAGACTTGCGACTGCCTACCAATCCACCAAGTCAATGTCTTCAATACTTTCTGGCAACTCCATTATTAGTTCTCCGATCCTGGATTGATGGAGAGTGTGATTGACATGACAAAAGCAATATCGAGCTGATGACCGGGTTTATATAGCAGGACACCACTGACAACTGTCTTATAACTGCCCCGTATGATTTCGGGTGAACTAGAAGTATTGCAGAAATAATCCACTGGCCACGTAGACTTACGAGAGCGTTTGTTTCACTTTTTTCAGTAATCCACAAGTGTTCAGAACATCGAATGTTCTCTATTTCGGTTTTTATCACCTTATATATACCAGCCTACATGGCCTGGTACACTCTGGCATGCATTTATAAAGCCCGGGGTAGAAACGGATAATTCTCTCCTCATTAAGCAGTCATAAGGGGTGCGCTGAGCAAGCGTTTTATTAAGCGCGATTAAATGTGATCAACCCTTTCGGGAACATGCTCCCAACCCTCTAAGCCACTAACCCCGGTGTGTGGCGTCTAACAGTGGCGTCTAACCCGCAGAGTACTGCATCTACCAATGGAGCGTGCTGTGTTTAACACTGTGACGCTGGTGGCCATTGTTAGACGCAAAGCGCGAGGAGCAAAGACAGAGAAAGTTGGGTCCATGGTCTCGTAAAGGTTAAATGTATATATGGTACCTACACAGGGGCACAAGTAGCCTGCACATCTGTCGTGGCAGTGCTGCTATTCCTCTGAGAAAGTATAGTATCACCTTGCCGACTCCGAAATGATGGGAGGCTCGGCGAACCCGGGCTGTGTAATCGAACCAGCGACCGAATTTGTAATACACGGCATTGTGCCTCTGCGCTACACTTGCTCTTTAAAACACCAATACATCAAATTGATGCCACGTTTACGTTCGCCTAAATTGTACGACATCACCATTTACAACCCCATTGCAAATCGACTTACCTTATCGGTATCCATTGCCTTCATTTATCTCTCCGTACAGCAACCAGCTGTCCTTTGACAAATCAGAAAAATCCTATATATGGCATCATGTCCTCAGAATCCTGGCCAGCTAACCGGATTCCGTCGCAAAGTATTGACTAAGCTCATAAAAATCTTTTAAGGCTCATTGCAAATGTCTCTAGGTATGATGCGCACATAATTACATGATTCTTACAAATTATTACATGAGATGATGCAATCAGCATAAACGTGCATGGATACAAGGAAGCAGCATATATTCACAAATATGATGACGTGTATACAGATATATGTCCAACCAGCATCAAAACGGTAACATTGAAGCGCATCATCCAAATCGTCGGTAGCTCAGAGTATGTTTGTGGTAGTTTTTTGGCTAAAATTTGATTATTGCCTATCTGGCACTTAATGAAACGTCTTCAAGTCGCAACACTAATTAGCTTTAGATCAAGACCCTAGATGAATCGGTGGCTAGAAATAATCGTCGGTATAAAACTTTTATTTTTTATTTACTGCTAGTTTTAGTTTCTGACGATAGAATCGATGTGAAGTATGACTACAAGAATGCTGAAATATCAGCAAAACTTGGACCGCTGGAGTTTTGCATTCAGTCAAGGAAAATCAAAGATATGTTTGCTTGTCAGAAAAATAGTCTGTGTAATGTCTCCCAATTAAACTGTATTTACAACGATCTTCCCATTGTTGATGTTCTGCATGGTGATAATGCTATAATTTTTTCTAACAATTTGAAATTTTTAACTTCAGCATCAGCATTCAACCATATATTTCTTGACGATTAAGCCAGCAGCACGAAATTGATAATTTCGAATCTATTTCGTCAACGATTTGACGTCTTGGTCACATTCAGGGTTGGCAAGGATACAGAATAAAGCTCTCGGCGCTAATCAATCCCACAGAGATGAGCCATTCATATGTCTTCTATTTCCTAGCTTCGTATGAGGTGATTGAATGCATATCTAGCCTTCACATAACTCACGGTGATCTACCGATGTATCTAATCAGTACTGCTATCCTCCCAGGCAATTTTGGTATCAAATCACCAGCTTCGGAGGGATGGAAGGCTTGGCGAGCCTTGAACGCCGGATCAAGCTATCGATTGGTCCATAATGCGTATCGCAGAGCACTTGACTGCTGCGTCACACGCGCTCTCTCCAATTGATTTTAATCAATTAAGAATAGTTTTTGAAGGTCCTAGTGATTGATAATTAATCTGTAATTCGATAACATACTTTGAGCCTTTTATTAAGTGTGTTGTGGCACTTATAATGTGCTAGGGACGGCACGTGTTTTCGGCCTTCCAGCCTCATCAGTAGCACGGTATCTTTCGGTTCAGTCACTTCCTCGAAGACATACCCCCTAGATGGAGGAATCGAGGCCGAACTTTTTAAACATGACGTATGGTGAAAGGATGACCGTGGCATTCTCTCAGAGTGATTGGTCGTCGACTACATGACTTACGGCTGTCGCAGAGCGTATGAAGGAATACCTTTTAATCGACTGGACAATCGAATAATTTGGAATAAGCCATGCCAATAAGCTCAGAATAGTCGACTGAAAGTTATTGCTATATATACTTTGTGACAACCGTACGCCATGCAGTCAACAATCAATCACTGTGGAAGAATGCCACGGTGAGCCTTCCACCGCTCCTCGAATGTGAAAAGTTCGGCGCCGATTTCTCTATATATGCCCTCGAGAAACTAACTGAACCAAAAGACACCGTCCTACTGATCACGTTGGAAGGTCGAAACAGATGCCCAGCACTTTATAAGTGCTATAACAAACTCATGAGAAGCTCAAAACATGCTCGAAATGACTAGTATTTTAATGCATTTTTCACAGTGTTATGATTATTCAAATATTCTCAAGGGAATTGAGCGGTGAGCAAAAACATAAATGGTCTAAGGCGGGAATAATAGTTATCACAATGGCTATCAGCTCAACTAGGTTTATAAAGCGAAATCGCATACCCGAACTAACCTGCTAAGGGTTGGTGGCTGATAGCTAACATCGAGATGTTGAAGAATGAGTGATGGGTCAAATGTGTCTCGGTGGTGTAGTGGTAGAGCACGCGTCCCCGGATAGGATGAAACGTGGGTGCGATTCCGCCCGAGGCCATGTTTTTGTCATGTGAGTGGATTTTTTTCTTTGTACTTCTCTTCTTCTATCTGTTCTTATACTTTATTTGCACTGAATACTAAGTTACTGTTATGAAAAATTTGCTTACGAGTTAATCCGTTGTCTCATAGGCCTTGTTTCTTCTTCAGCTTATAATTTTCTACTGGTTTTAGCTTTTTTTTTCTTAGGTCATAGGTCTTCATTCTCAATATACCTTCTACTCACTCCATTTTCCCATGCTTTTTATGATCTACTCACTAAATATGTGGGATTTTGATCTTCGTACTGCCTCCGTTCCCTTTCCTTTCGACTTTTTTTTTTCGCTGCTCGTCTTTACCCCTCGCATCCTGGGTCGTGCTCTCTTACCGACCTTTGATGTCTCTGCACATTCTCACCTTCGAAATTCAAATTCAGACGCGAAATGTCTTCCTATCGTCTGCCTTGATGCGGATTTTCGAAACTATCTTTGGCCTACTTTTTTTCATTTTCCGTCTTACCACCTGTCTATCAGCACTATTTGTTTTGTCTATATCGTATTCAGTCACATGAGTGTGTGAGAGGCTCCGTTCAGTGTTCCTCGAAACTAGATAATTTCCATGATTTTTTTCCCTGAATTTTTCTCCATTACAGTAAATATTATGAGTTCGTTGCCAAAAAAGTCTTTGTTCTCAGTTTAGATTTGAACAGAACAATTCTCGCTAGTATCTCTTCGTTCCAGAAAATCTTCCATATCGATGGGCAATCAAAAGTTCTTTGACCGCTTTTATGAGTCTTTGCGATTCTCGTCATATTTGTTTATTTTCGTTTAGGTTTTTCTTTTCTTCGCTCTTCTAATAATTGCTCGAAATTATCTTCTCGCTGAAAGACACTTAAATCTCAAAAAAAAAAGCTCAGTTTACTTGCAGACGTTACGGTAAGACTACTCACTGTGATGCCCAGTCGTACGTAGTTCATGAGCATATTATATACGACATTCTCAGTTTTTTACAAGCCTAAACTTTAATCGGTTTCAAGACGACTGAGTATAGATGTTGCAACTCTGATCATCACTCCTATATGTTCGAATTCTCCATGAAGAAATGCGATCGACCCAGCTGCTCCGAGCTGATATCAACCAGAACTCGTAGTTTTTGATCTTTCAATCGCATTTTTCTCATTTACTCGTCGGCAGTCATTGTCGTTGTCACTAAGTCGTGCTATCCGGAAAAAAAGCGAGATTGGCAGGAGAGGATACGAGAGAGAGAGAGAGAGAGAGAGAGGAGAGAGACTGAGACAAACAGACAGAATCATAGGATAGTGATGAGCGATGAATAGGAAGAGGACGAGAGAAGTGATTAGTGAGTTGAAGAAACACATGCGCTTCATCCTCCCTCATCTTCATTGATTTTTGAAACTCAGCTTTTCGCCATACGCTATCGATTCCGTCATGTCGTCTGCCGATGCTCTCTAGTTCGGAAGCTCGTCAACTGCGTCTCATCCGTAAGCGACGTGTTGTCGTCGGAATTTCGGAATCTCGTCTCACTCATACCTCAAGGCGCTATTTTTCGCGCTTAACTCGGTATTTTTCGTCCAGCTTCCCGCAAAAAAACATCAAATTGTGGTTTACTTGTGCTAACTAGATTTCATTCACATTACATGCTCTTTAGCTTTTTCCCTATGTTTTCCTCTCAAATGCAAGGGAACGTTCGTATTAGCTGAATTCTAACATGAAGTCAAGAGTCTATGGAAGCCCGTTCAAAGCCCAGCAGAGTCATTCATTGGCTTCAGGTATCCAAACGGACACGTGAGTTTTGTTTCTCATAATTCTTTTCGCTATAGTTTTCCTAGTTCCTTCTGTCGTACAGCATCAATTTGAACATTCATGCCACTACAAAGTTGTACTTTTTACTTCCTTTTTTACTCTCTATCAATTTTACTTACTTTACCAAAAGTTTAGCACTTAGTTTTAGTATAGCTCCTTAACTCAGATTTTTTTTCGATGAAATTGATTATAAATGATAAACTTGCCTAAAAAGCAGTCAGAATTTCTTAGGCTTCTTTCTACGGCGTTCACTATAGCAAGAAAACGGGCCCTTTACTAAATGATCCGAGTGGTTTTCTCTTTTTTTCAAATGTTTATTCGGAATTCAAGATGAATTCTAGTGGGGGAAGAAATAAATCTAGCATATAGATTTTTGAGAGCGATTCTTCTGTGACTCTTTCGAAATGCAGTTCGTTTGTAAACAAAGTGTGAATGGATTTTTAAGTGATTATCTCGCAATCGATCCTTTCAAGTACGATAATGTCAGGCAGGGATGATCATTTACTCGAAAGAACAAGTAGTGCGTCCAAATGTAAGACACATGATGTATTCATTTGTCGAGGGGTTTTTTATTTTCGTTTTTTGACATGTGACTGGGTGGCAGGCTCGTAGAGTGAGCGGTTGTCAAGCTGGCAAGCCAGCTAACAAGCTGGGTGTTTGGGTGGTCGACTGGCTGTTCGTTGCCGATTTTTTTCATGTCACAAGTTGACATTCTTGAATGACGTCTCTAAAAGAGTGTCACAAACATATTATCCGAGTCCTAGCCGAAAGAATTTTGGTGTTCTCTACGATGTTTGTGCCACGATATCATTAATTCATCCTTACATCCTCATCCGCACTCCGTTCGATGTTTAAGTAGTACTCATTCTTGTAGCGTACAATGTATAGAAAATGCGGAAAATACAGTCGTTCCGATACATCGTTGTCGTTATTGTACAAAATGACTGAAAGAACAACGTCAGCGATTCGAAAAAAATTCATTTTATCGTTTCATAGAATCGCCCACCAAACCATAAAATCGTAACAAACGTCCGTATTCTGCGCTGCTGTTCAATGGCACGTCAACTAAGAGTTTTGGTCTTTCTTTTTGGTTTTTGAACAGAAATTAGGATGTGACTGTGAATATGATCACTTTGCTGTGACACTTGCTGGATGTTTAGGTTAGCAGAGCTTGCTTTTGAGAGTCAGAGGCGAAAACAATCCTTGTGTAACTCCTCTTTGCATACATCTTGCCAATTCACTCCAGCACTTTCTTTTCAATTAAAATAAAGAGGTGAAAATTTTGCATCACTCCAAGTAGTTTTGCCGATCGATCTTCGATTGCTTTACAGTTAATAACATTTTGAGTAACTATAAGTTGCTAAATATAAGATATCTGTTCATCTTCACTAAAATGATGTCTGTGAAGGTTTTGTGAGAGATCAGACTTAAAGTTGAACTAATATCGATTTTTAAAGTGTTACAAATTTAGATTATTGGTATAGAAATTTCAAGAAATTTATTCACGATATGACGTTTTAAAATTCTCAACGTTTATAAGATGCCATTGATTCGTATGCAACATTCTACAGAGCGTTTGACCGATGTTTCTTTTAGTGGTGAACAATCATTTCATTATTGGCATTTGACGAGCCTCTTTTATAGAGATTCCTGCGTTTCCGTCTCTATAACACATCGTGAAAAGGAGCGTTTTAACTTTTCTTCTTTTGCAAATTTCGCTGTTAACTAGTTTACAAGGATGTAGTACGGAAATTTAGCCAACGTCATAGTTGATTTTACCTATAGAAATCATTTCTATTTACTTTCATTCTTATTTTCCCGTTTTTGCTGACTGCCTCTTTATCAAACAAATCTAGACAACTTTTTCTGTTGAATTTTTTTGTCTAAAATTCAGGCTCATTTTCTCCGTATCTCTAACTATCTCCTGTGTTTCTCTGTGACAATGATTTTTATGCAATCTGTTAGTGTTTTGCTTTTGTATTAAAACAGAATAGTAGCCGAATCATGCAGCTAAAGAATAAATTTGTTTAATTAAGCTCACATGTCAAATATTAGTCGAACGGTTCTGATCGGACCTCGTATATAATATCTGTTTGTATTAGCAAGTGAACGATTTTAGGCTCGATATATCAACAAATGACGCACGAAATTCTTTCATCTTATATTGAGTCGGATTCTTTCCCTAATCCAAAAATAATTTTCATAAATCAATTTCATGCAAAACAATCGGTTCGATGGCTTTGCAGTGTAATAAATAATATTATTTTTCGTTCATATTAGCGAATACTGAATGGAGTATTCTCAATACATGTGATGATAATACTCTATGGCTGATGCCTATTTATATCCATGAAGCTGAAGCTCTGAAGCTCTTGGCTTTGATCATTCCCTGAGGGATGCGCCATGTCTTCGTCTTTAATTGTTAACCTTGATTGAAGGGATTGAACGCATGCCTGACCTTCAAATAATTCGCGGTGGCCTACAGCTGGTATCGAATTAGTGCTACATATCATCCCAGACAAATCAAGGGCCAGTTTGGTACCAATTTACCGACCCTGGAGAGATGGATGGACTTGGTGGGCCGTGAGCGCGAGATCGAGACATCGACCTTGTGTGCGGCACTGGACACCTGTAACCATTGCGCCACATGCGCTCGTTTATAACTTTGTTCTTAATAAAGTTTGATAGTCCAAATATGAATATAATATCATGTTTATATGGATAACAAATATCGCAACCAGCTATTTCTCTTTCTTCACCGAAAGAGAAAATTGTCATAGTTATAAATGTGCTATATATACTTATGTATACGTATATATGCCATGTATACGTGGATAGGAGCGCTTGTGGCGCGGTGGTCTGAGGTACTCTGCGCCGCACACGAGGTCGATGGTTCGATCTCGTGCTTATGACTCATCAAGCCATCCATACCTCCGAGATCGGTAACTTGGTACCAGACCCGTGCTTGGGAGGATAAGCAGCACTGGCTCGATACAGCTGCAGGCCACCTGAGTCGTTCTATAGGCTAGATATGCATTCAATTACCTCAAACGAAGCCAGGAAGTGAGAGCGATTATATGATAAATTTCTCAGGGATTGGTCAACGCTGAGAGCTTTACCCTTCTATACTTTTATATGTGTGCACAGATATGCTTGCGTCCATTACATGCATTCATATGCATACACACCTACATACGCCACACACATGCATGTGTGCCTGCTCGTACCTTGATATCTGTTCAAAAATAAGCATGCTTACATCGCTTATTCGTAGTTATGATACATAACAGAATGGCTTATTCGTCAATTCAAAAATATTATGCAGCGTACATGTGGCGGCGAGGGTGGAGTGCAACGCTATGGGAATGCGTTATAAAAGAGATTCATTTGTGTGGTGGATTTTCTCCGCTATATTTTTTCGGCAAGCATGCCGTTGTTCTTATCGTAATTCATAACAATCCGCCGTTGTTGCTATTGTTGTTGTCGCTGTCGATATTGTTGTCGTTGTTGTTGATGTTATTGATGTTGTTGCTGTCTTCGTCAAGAATAATATCGTCCAATATGACTTCTTTTTTCCTTCTTTTTTACTCTCTTTTTATCTGTTGAGAAATATATGACTCCACTAGAATACTTCTGTTGGCAGTTCCCATAATATGATTCATTTCTTTGGAAATTCATGGATTTCCTATTTGGTTCGAAAGGGAGTCTCATATGCCATAGAGATTACCGTGCGTTATTAGAACTGTGTTCCGATACCCGCGGTGACTTATTGCAGTAATTACGCAATGATTTATGATTAACGATGCGAGAAACGCGCTACGTGGCGATGCCATTCGCTAGTAAGCCGTTGCTTCAAAACTACCCTAGGCCGACCAAGTTACCGATCCCTTAAGGCTCGTATTGAATGGCAGTTGATTGAGATGGACATCTTCCATGCCATGGGACTATAGAATACTCTTAAGGAGGAGCTGAAAATGAGCCGTTATGAATATGCCGCGATTCTAGAAAGAATTTCTTGACCAGCGTTCGACAACATTGAGGAAGAATACAAAATCGCTCAAGCAACAACCGTTCCCGCACGCAAATCAGAAGACCTCCTTCGTAGGCGACGACTGCGAGACAGCGAATAGAATGAATCAATTGCTGGAATGCACACAACGCGATATCAACTTATGTAGTAAGTAGTGGCATTTTTTTTTCATATTTCTGTCTTAAAGGATACCATTGACGGTTGGTTGCTGACAGACTGATACAATTGTATCGCTGATAAAGTGATAGCAGAACGAGCTCCGATAGTGCAGTGGTTAGCACGCTCCCCTCAAAAGGGTGAAGGTGGTTTCAATCCCGTTCGACGTTGAAGCTTTTGCATATCACTCAACAATATTGAATGTAAAAGGTGTGTAACTCTATCACAGCAATGCTGACTGATATGCAAAACTATGAATCTCAAAGGGAAGTTGAAGCTGCGATTCACCCTTACCGGGGTGTTTGTTAACTTGAGTAAAGCAGAGGTTAGCACGAGACTCCAGGAAGGTTGAAGAGCGGCTTCGACTACCATCTAACGTTCATATTTTTGCATTCTACTCAATATTCTTAGATGTACAGTTATCTAATCATAAGTGCCATTGAAAGGACGAAATAAATTCTTGTGGACTTTAAGCTGTTGTTTAGTTCAGACTGACTTTCTTCTTTATGTCCTATTTACTAAAGGTTATCAGCAGGTCAGCGAAGTAAAATGATGTACAAAACTTTTGCATCAGCCAGGACCCGAACTCGCATTTCACCCTATACGCAGGCACGTACTCTATCCCTTGAAACAGCTACTTGTTTTGCTACCACTACCACTAACTAAAATACTCTTATGAATAATTTCGCTCAACAACTTCCCGTATTGGACATACTCTTTGAGAGAATGTGTTAGTCGTTGACCTGAGTGCAATTTGACATTCTTCGGCTATACTTTTTGACGAGCAGCTGTGATGTGTCTTCTGCGATATTTTGCTCTTTCTTGAGCGTAACAATTGAGCAAAGTTCAAAGATCGGTTTGATGCGGAACTACCTAGCAGCATTTGACGACTTCCGACAGGTGTCCTCATATGTTGCTCATATCTGTTCCAACATTTCTTCCTTGACTTCGTTGAAATGTAACTGTCGTCGTTCTGTCGATTCGTCTGGGATTGATCTGATGTCTTCTGTACTACAGAGCTGATCGAGAAATAAAATGGTCTCATTCAAGATCATGAAATTACCATGACTATGTTCTCATCTCTTCACGTAGGGAATCGTCGGTCTGTGAATTGTAGACAAGTATGCCGCTTGTTTCATCGCTCTCGATAAAGCTGAAACGGTGCTGTACTCAGCGACCGATGAGCCTAATTTCCTGCCTTTACTGACTTGGTGGTTGTTCGACAATAAAGGGTAATGTTTCGATAAGTAGAGGACTTCTGAAATAGTGAGCTATTCAAAGCTTTTACCAATCGACAAACATTTTCAATCAAAGATTTTTTTTGAATTATTTAGTGCAGAGTATGCCATTTCTGGTCTCATCCTACCTACTGTTATCTAATCTTGACTAGCATGGATCGAAAATAGACGCTGTGGGAGGAAGTTCTGAAATCCAAGCAACAATTTTGTGCAACATAGCGTAAAAATCTTTCACTACAGTCACGTGTGTGCACTACTGTGTATGTACTTTTCAACCCCCATTATGGGTCAAAAATATCGTAGTTTGAACTTGTTTCGTAATGTGATCGCCTTCATTTTGACTCAGTTATACTTCTAAATTAATATTCAAGTAACTGAAAAGATCTATTCATATAAGTATAATCATTTTATACCTTCATCTCGAGTGTTTTATTTAGACCACACTCAAATTTCAATAGATCCTTCCAATATTCTTTGAGCCAACATGTCATGTGGCCTGGTAAGGGCTCTTGTACAGCCCGATACACGTGTTCCGTCCTTACAAACTCGTCAGTCGGGCAGAACCCGTCGTCTTTTGATCTTTTATTAGTCAGTTCTTTCGGGAGCCCTACTCTCCCTACAGAGAGTTATCGAAGACGAACGTTTTACACTCTATGTCAAGTGGAATTTTCACCTTGTTTTTTTCACCTTATACTCATTTTGTTTCTACTCTTCAACGATTGGTTACATCAGAAACGGTGCTGCAATTAGATTAATTGCCAATAGTGCAATTCTGGTACCAATTTGCTGCATGCGGATGCCTGGAAGTCATAGAGCATCATGCGAGGTCGAACCGAAGCACACATGTATGCAGCAGACCACGCGCTACGCTCACTGTCGTCTTTTTAAGTAACAATGAGATTTTTGCAATTAAACGTTCGTAGGCAGCCTACGCAAAATACTTTCATAGGGTACAGACCTATTTTTATCTATTTGAATCTATTTTGTACTCATCATGGATACCATGAAGAAAGAAACGGGCAGAGTGTGAATTGAGTATATTGAAGAAGTGCGAATTGTGCTGTCGAATATGGAAAAATCAATTGTGTTTGGTCTTAGTTTTACGAAGACAATTCTTATGTGTGACGTTCGTGAATTTTGATTCACATAACCATTGAAAAACTACGGGAATACGCGCTGCTCGTCTGTGTCATCGTTCGCCATCCCTGTCTCTCTATGTGTCTCTACCTCTGCCTCTCGTTCCGTCCCTCTCTGCGTCTCGTTCTCCACCCTCACTCTAATTCGTTTTTTTTTTTCGCATAGCTTTTATTATCCTGAATGCCGTATCCATTACGACTCGTGTCATGAGCCACAATCGCTCTTCCAGTGTGCAAATGCTTCCGGTGCACCGTTAACAAGCGCTTTCATCAATTCTTTTTCATAGTTTTAACGACAAAAATCCTTCTTAAGCTCCGTGATCACTTCTTAACACCTTTGCTATAAACCCTTCATTCATCTGCTAACTGTTTTCCTATCGTTCTTTGTTTTCTCTTAAGGTTATAATTAGTCATACTCGGTAGATTCTTAAGTGTTTTATCTGATCAACTTGAAGATAATGTGTATCTAAATTTTTGATAGCCGGACATTTCCTTCGATGGATCGCAATGCTAATCTAGTGTGATAGTATTTATATGATTCTACTGAGAAATGCGCTGTTCACATGATATTTTGCTAAGTTTAATGGATCTTATGGTCTTTTCATATCATAGGCACATAAAGAGGAATAAGCACTCGCCTTTGATCAATTTCTTAGGATACACTAATCGTCTCGGCTACCATCTTAATGACGAAGTCGGAAGAGGCGCAATGGTTACCAATGGAGTGAATCATGAAGCAAAGTGATGAGCGAAGCGGTGGTTCGATCCTGTTCCTCAAAACTCGCTTGCAATCAGTCAAATTCGGACTCTCTAGCTTGGCTACCTCTAAGATTGCAAGGAGAATCACCTTGACTAGCATTCTAGAACATTCACGTAGAAAGACGAAATCTTCAAGCATAAGCCGAAACAACGCTTGAATATTTTGAAAATTTTTCTAAAAGCTGATGGCGAGGAGACGATTCGAATGCACGAAGTCCTGTGATCCGGGCAGTACATTGTGACGACGGTTCGTGTAAAAAATAGTATTGCCTGTTTGACCTTACTAATGTGTAACATCAGTTTCTATCCTCTCAGACGAGTTTACTAGCTGCTTGTCAACAACCTGGATGTTCCGGTTAATATTGTGCGAGGACTAATCTAAGAAGCACACGTGTATCGCTGCTTGTGGATCGATCCATAGACCACGTGTGCGTGCAGCAGCGCATCGTCACAGCAAACCACTACGCTACACGCGTTTCTATTCATTGAAGGTCTTGTAAAAATCGTCATGGAATGTGTTACAGTGTTGATAGCACGTGGGAATTTGGATAAAAAACTCTCGGCGTTGATCAATCCCCGGGAGACGAGCCATACATTCGTCTTTGATTTTTAACTTCGTTTGTGGTGAATGAATGTAAATCTGGCCATTACAATGACTTGCATCATCATCTCGCTGTGTCGAGTCAGTGCTGCTGTCCTTCCAAACAAATATGGTACCACTTTACCGACCCCGGAGGGATAAATAGCTTGTGAGCCGTTAGCGCGAGGTCGAACCATCAACCTCGTGTGCGACGCAGAGCACCTCTAAGCACTCCATCACGTGCGCTCCTGGAAAATTGTGATAAGAGTGTAAAAAGCCCCTTTTCCGATACTCTTCATACTTTGAACAGTATGTACACTCCACTAAGGTAGTGGACATCCTGCGGTTTTATAGCTAGAAGAGTAATGGAGTGGAAGGGCAAGGAGGGCGGGGGGGGGGGAGCTTTTTTTGTCGTAAGCGATGTTTAGTGTGTGATTGTTTGATTAAATAGATTTGATGTTAATCGCTATAGACGTCATATCAACTGTGCAAACATTTTTCGTTGTTTAGCAACTGACTGCTTTTCTTCATCGATCTTCGTTTATTCATAGTTGTTCGCGTCATCCTCTTATCACAAGACTCCCTCCTCTCCATTGTGTGCAGGGATCATTCACTCATCAAATAGACTTAGTACTTATCATCACTACGACGATGTTCAGTGAGACAAATGATAGATGGATGAACCCCCCGACGAAACTTCTCACGCCCACGCACTCACTCACGCTCAATTACTCATTCGTCCACCCACACTGGCATCAGAGCTCACTCTCCACCGCGTTCATAACTATGTTTGCTCTCTATCCATGCTTGAACGTCATCATCACAGAATCGCTGTCTATGAATGCTATCAGTTGGTTTTATATTTTGTAGTTTTTACTTTGAAAGTACAAAAAAACATAAAAGTGGGCTGACGAAATAGCAGCCGCAAAAAGCGTTGATCTACCCCAAGAAAGACGAACTACAGCGATCGGACATTTTTTTGCTACATCGATTATCGTCAAAAATCGCATTGATATTGGTCTTACCCGCCATTATATCAGACATTATTGACGTTAATATGTTCTTTAACCTAATAAAGCATAAAAGAACCATTTGTATTGTTATTTTTGGTATGAATGATGTCGTCGACGCGATTCGTTTTTTTCTTCTCGTTCTAAAATCTCGGCTTTTTTCCGGTTCTGAAGAATTTTCTAAGATGATTTAGTCCTCAGTGTGCTGATGATTTTCGGTCGCTTATAGTCAAAAAATTATTTATTCTCTAAAATATATTCCTACAGAGTTTTCTTGGCAACTAAATTGAAACTGTTTCCTTACATTTCTTTCCCAAATATTGATCGTTATTAACTTTTCTGTCATGATTTTTCTAAAAATAGTTTCTAATTCTTTTTTCGAAATATTTCATCAAATTTTGTGAGCTTTGATTTCTTGGTTTTTTTTTTGTTTTTGTGAACAACTTTCTAAGG